GACCACCCGAGTTGCGGGGCTCGTAGCGGACCCAGTGCACAGACCCTCGGTGCCATGGTCATTCTGGGAGCACACCTACTCACTGGGGCAGTGGGGCAGCGGGAGACGGAGCAGGGCCGTGTCGTCTGCCCTTGCTCAAGGTCACCTGGGCAGCGGGTCTTGCCTGCATCCCGGGAGACACTTGCTCGGAGTTCTTCCCTCTTACTCCACGACCGCTCACATCCAGTAACCCTCCCCTCCACCCACCCGGCCACCTCGTGGACATGGACATGTCCGTCATCTGCAGTGTCTCCATCTTCCATCCCTGGGGTGCCACCTCCTGCCTCTGCAGCTTGCTGGAGCCGCACCCTGTGACCTGCTGGTCCCCTGGGCCTGTCCCGTGTTCCCGCCTGCCTCACATGGACCTTGAGGCTCTCCGGGGCTCACAGAACTTTCAGATGTGTTCGACCTCAACAGAGCGATAAACGTGACTTACCTGTGACCTAGAGCCTGTCGGTGTGTGTTTACACACACACACACACACACACACACACACATACACGCTTCTCTCAACTTGAACCCAGTTACAATATTTTTGATAATGACTTTTATTCTTTTGGTACGTGCCCCTACTGGGAACCGAACCTGGGAGACTCTGGTCCGCAGGCCAATGCTCCACCTGCTGAGCCAAACCGGCCAGGGCTAGTTACAAGTATTTTTTATCCTCACCTGAGGATGTTTTCTATTTATCTTCAAATAGAGCGGGAGGGAGGGCGGGAGAGACACATCGATGTGAGAGAGACACACCGACTGGCTGCCTCCTGCACAACCCAACCAGGGCCAGGGACGAACTGCAACCGAGGTACATGGCCTTGACCGGACTCGAACTGGAATCGTGCCCTTGGTCCATGGGCCACGCTCTAACCGCTGAGCCAGACCGGCCAGGGCCCCAGTTACAAGAATTTAAAAATCTCTCCCTGGCCCTGGCTGGTCTGGCTCAGCAGTCAGAGCCTCGGCCCACGGACAGAAGAGTCACATGTTTGATTCCGGCCAAGGGCATGTACCTCGGTTGTCATTCGTCCCCAGCCCTGGGTCAGGGTCGTGCAGGAGGCAGCCAGTTGGTGTGTCTCTTCATGTCGATGTTTCTCCCTCGCTCTCTCTCCCTCCCACGGTGTCTGAAAATAAATGGAAAAATATCCTCGGGCGATAAAATTAAAAAATCTCTCCCCGGACACCGGTTCTCACAAATCTCTCCTCGTCCGCACACGCGGCTGAGTCACCTGTGTCAGCTACAGCTGTTCCCTGCGGCCGCTGTGACCCCACCACACAGTCGTCCTCAGCACCCTCCAGTCTGTGCCCTCCCACTCCACGGTCAGAGCCTGGAAGCCGGTGCCAGCTGGGCTGCGCCTCTGTGGGCCGCAGGGACCCTGGTCTCCTCCATCTCCCGTACCCAGGGGCCGCCCACTCTGGCTCCTGGCCGCACCCCTCCGACCTCTGGTCCCGTGGCCCGACTGGGACGTTCTTGTATCAGGACCCCTGTAATTCTGCCGGCCCCTCGCGGATCACCCATGTCTCCTCCATCACGACACGTACAGTCACTTTTACGGCGTCAGGGGACATATCCCAGGTCCCGGGGACTGGCCCCTGTGGGCACCCTGCTGGGGCCGTTTGTCTGCAGGAATCACCTGGGATGTCCCCAAGTTCCACTCACTTTTCGACCTCTCCACACAGGCTCTGTCCCCACCCCACCCCACCCCACACGCCTCCCAGAATGGCCGAAAGCCTCGGTCTGTCGTCCTTCCTGACCCCGTACAGCCTGGCACGTGGCCCGGCAGGATGAGGGGCAGGGATGCGCCCGGGGGACCGGAGCTGGGAGGCTGGTGCCCTGCTGTCCCCAGAAGAGCGGCAAACATGCCTGTGGTCGGCCGCAGACGGTTTTGCACAACTCACCCTGCTGTGCATCACCCCAGGCTCCACGGTGCCTGGACTTTATCCGTTTAAAAGTATTAGGAGCCCTGGCCAGTTTGGCTCAGCAGTTAGAGCGTCGGCCTGCAGTCCGGAGAGACCCGGGTTCGGTTCCCGCTAAGGGCACGTACTTCGGTTGCAGTTTGTCACTGGTCCTGGTTGGTCGTGCGGGTGGCAGCCACTCGATGTGTCCCTTCACGTCGATGTTTCTCTCTCTCTCTCCCTCCCACTCTATCTGTATAAAAAATGGAAAAAAATATCCTCGGGTGAGGATAAAAAAAATAAAAGTATTAGGAGGTTTTTCGAACAAACATTTTGTGTACCAGCTACAGAAGAGCGCACAGGCCCTAAGTGTGGAGCCGGGTGCACTTTTGCCGAACGAAGCACGTACACGCCCTGCACACGGGGAAATGGGGCGGCTTCCTGAGCCCCCCACGTGCCTCCAGGGGGCACAGTGGGTTTGCATCCCTTTTCCCTTTTGTACAGACTTGCCTTCTTAAGCGGTTAGGCTCACAGCTAAATGGAGCAGGAAGCTCAGAGGTCACATATACCCTGCCCCCCGGCCCCGTCATCAGCATCTCCCACCAGCCAGCGCGTCCGCTCGGCACAGTCCTGAACCCACATGCCCTCACCATCACCCAGAGTTCGTCGTTCCCACCAGGGCTCCCTCCTGGGGCCGCACAGTCTCTGTGTTCTGACAGACGTCAGCACTGTGTCACACAGAACGGTCTCACGGCCCTGAACCTCCTCTGTGCCCCCTTCTCCCTCCCTCCCCGCCCACGCCCGGCACCCAGCCGTCCTCTTCTGTCTCCACCATCTTCTCTAGAACGTTCCGTAGCTGGAATCACACAGCGTGCAGCCTTTTCAGCCTGGCTTCTGTCCCTCAGGCACACGCGCTTGGGGCCACCGTGTTGTTCTGTGACCTCGTAGCTCGCTTCGGTTTAGTGCTGGACGCGTCGTGCCGTCTGGACGGAGGCGCAGGGTTTTGCAGGAAGAGCCGGACTGGTCTCGAACGGCTTTGAGGGCCGGCGGGTGTTACACGCACCTGCCCAGTGTCAGGACGGATGTGCCGGACGGGCCACACCGAGCCTCTGCCTCCGGGCCCCCGAACATGCACCGGTGGGCAGGGGAAGCCCCATCTCCGGGGACGGCCCCCACGCCGCAGGAGAAGGCAGGGCCCGCACAGCAGACTCGGAGCAGGCAGTCCCCTGTCCCCAGCTCTGCCCCGTGCCCCACCCCCCCCCCCACGGCCTTAGCATCATGTCCTCCGAGCTAGAGTCACACATGGCCTTTGGGACAAGCCATGGACGTGAGGCCAAAGCCTCGCTCCCAGAACTAATTGAACACCTGAGCCCGCTGGCCATGCAGTATGGTCCTGGTGAGAGTCGGGGGACAGACGAGAGGATTGAAGGCGAGTTTGAAGAGAGCTGAGTGGGGGGCCAGCTGGGGGAGCTCCAGGGTGGTGCTGGCCTGGGGTGGCCGTCCGGGTGCTGAGGTCCCACAGAGGAGGCTGGACTTTATCAGGCCCTGCCTGCGTTCCCTGCTGGGTGACAGACTGTCGGCCCGGGCCCCTCCGGCACCTGGCAGGGACAGAGTGAGGACGTGGTCCTGCCAGGCAGGACCCTGGCTCTCGTGCCCGACGTCACTCTGCTGTAGGAGCTAGACCGCGCTTCTCCAGGTGAACCGCACGCGGGTGGCTGGTCTCCGTGGGTGTGGCAGGGCCGCAGTCTAGGAGCCAAGGCCTGGGTCCCTGTGCCTCTTCAGAGAACTCTGGGTGCCCCGTGGGACCGGACACTAGACCACCTCGGTCCCTTGTGTGACTTCCGGGAGCCCCAGGCAGCCTCTGCCCAGAGCAGCGGTTCTGAGGACGTGGAGACCTGACCGGGAGGAACTGAAGCCCAGCCGCGTGTGGGAAGGGGCAGTCCTGGGACTGTCTGCCCCTCCCGCCCTCGGACGGCTGCCAGGCCTCCTCCCACACACCTCCCCAGAAAGTCCCTGGCTCCCCTCCCGGCCGCCTGCGTGACCTTCGAGGTGAGGAGGAGGAGAGGAACCCCGGTGGGGTTGAACCCGCCTTCCTCCTTTCTGAGAAGCGGCCGGGCCGCCCACGCCCGCCAGGCCAGCGGACCTCATCTCCTCGGAGCCAGGTCCGGCCCGGTTGGCACCTGTGCCAGATTCCGGGGCTCCGACAGGTGGTCACAGCCGGGGGTGACGACGGCGCAGTTCCTGCTCCTGCAGAACCAGAGCTTCAAGTCTGAGGTCCAGGTGCCGCCGGGCGTATGTCCCCGAGGGGCCAGGGAGGGTCCTTCCTGGCCGCTGCCGCTCGTCAGGACTGCGGGCCATTCGGTCATCCGTGCCCATAGCTGCGTCGCCCGTCTCCGCACTGTCTCCTCTTCGGACACCGGTCCCAGTGCCTTGAGGAACCCCCACCTCAGTATGACCTCATCATAGCTAACTACACCTGAATGACCCCATCTGCAAACAAGGCCACATTCCGAGGTCCCTGGTGAACAGGAATTTAGGGGGACACCCCCATAACACAGCCCCCACCGTTCCTGTCCCCTCCACTCGGAACAGGCTCTCACCTCGAGCTGGGGGCCCCGCCTGCTTTCCTCTCCGGGGCTCAGGCAGGCCCAGGAGTGGTCCCGTGGTGGGAGACGGCACCCCCTCCCTGCAGGAGGGCCCGGCCAGCTAGCGGGACATCAGAGAAGCAGGGTCTCCCCAGGACAGGCACCTCCAGGCTCACGGGACACCCAGTCAGCCCTGCCTGCTTCCCAGTGATGCTGCAGGACGTCTTACAGCCTGGACACCCCGTTAGTACCCCCTGAAGGGTCAGAACCTCCGAGCCTCCCAAGAGGCCAGCCCGGACCCAGGTGTCCAGCCCAGCGGAAGAGTGACATTCTCTCCCTCGGCCCAGCTCCGGGCCTGGGGTGGTGTCCTGTCTCCCGCCACATCTCCCCGGCCGGCCAGCCCCTTCCCGGGGGGGCCGAGGTCCCCCTGCTCGGCTCTGGGAAGGAGGGCGAGTTCCCGGCCTGCTGTAACCGCCGCATGTTTTCCAGGCTACCTGAGCAAACTCCTGCAGAACCACACGGCCTACGCCTGCGACGGTGCCCACCTGACCCTGCGGTGCCCGCGGCACTCCGCCATCAGTGTGCAGTCGGCGTTCTACGGGCACGGCCACCGAGCGTGCGGTGCGCAGCAGCCCGCCGCCCAGAGGGAGGACGGCCTCACCTGCGTGGCACCCACCACCTTCCAGGTACTGCGTCTCTCGGGTGTTTGCGCAGATGGAAGGGTCCTCTCTCTGTCTCTCGGTCCCTCTCGAAGCCAGCCTGACCCACGGAACTTGTAATCTGTGCCGATCACCGCTGTTGCGGGTGAGCCATTATCTGCTTCTCAAACGGATCCTTTCCTCAAAAAGTCGAAGCAGAATTGCCACCTGCTGGAGAGCCCCCCGGCACACGGCGCCGTGACTGTGTCCAGGGCACGGACACACTCCTCCCTGCAGGCCGGCAAAGGGCAGTCCCGCTGGGCTCCAGCGTCCCTCAGTGCCCCGGTGGGCAGGGCAGAACAAGCTTCTTTAGTGGACACCCCGGGACTCGGTGAGGCAGACGTCTGAGGCCCCGACCGCCATTCACAGAACGCACCCCAGGGAGGGAGGAGTCGACGGTTGTCGTGTGTGTTCAGGGTTTGCTTTCCAGTCGTAGGCAAATCGTGTCCTTGTTGGAGCAGCTTCAGGGAGCCTCTGGATGCTGCAGACAGTACCCGGAACTTGGGGGCGGAGGGGCGGGCCGGCTGAGCCACCCTTTCTGTGGTTCGCATCAGGGGAAGACTTGGTGCAGGACGAGGTCGGAACAGCAGCTTCAGAGGTGATTTCAGACCCTCGTGGCTCTCAGTGCCCCAGGCCGGCACTCCAAGGGCCCTCAGCCTTGTGCCCGTGGGCCAGGGCTCCGGAGCCGCTGGCCTTAGCCGTTTCGAATGCCCCCAGCGCGCCACGCGACTCCGTTGAGGTCAGGGCGGCGGGCACACTGGCTGCCAGTTCCACGTTGCAGGCGCGGGAAAGGTGGGTCAAGATACGTTTTGCAGCAGGACCGAGGGGCCTGGACTTCGCTTTCGTCCGGGTAGCTCGGCCCAGGGCCCCAGCGGAGCAGCAGAGGTGACCTGGGATGTGAGGCCTTTCCCATGTCTCCCCCGGCTCATTGCTTTCCGTCCAAGCACCTAGTGTCTGGGTGGCCGTGTGATGGCCACAGGCTCCAGCTGAGTAGCCGGTGTGTCTGCCTGAGTCCCCGAGATGCGGTTTCAGTGTTGCTTCTGAGAGAACAGTCACTGTCCGGGGGCCACCTGCCCCCACGCCCCCCTTGGCGCCTCTCCAGGAGCCCTGTTCCCCGCCCAGCTGCCCTGCCCACTTGTCCCTGGCACCTCCAGCGTGAGGGGGACGGCGCCCCCTTGCTGGCCCGTGAGCATTTGCAGACAGTCCAGATGCTGCGGGCGTATCTGCAGAAAGCGTCCCTGTGCAGGGCTCCTCCAGAGATTGGGGACCCTGGGCCTCCGTCCTGTAAACCGCATCTGGGAGCTACGAGGCGTCTCCTCGGAGGGGGTGCCCCACGGGGAGCGCCTGCGCCGACCCCGCCCGGGACTGGATGTCAACAGGAAGTCCCCTCTGCTTGTCCAGCTGTGACACAGTTTGGAGACAGCCCTGCCTCTGGTCTCGCTCTGTGGTTGTCATGTGAAGAGCCTGAGAGCTGAGTCATTTCAGGGCCCTCGGCCGTGACCATGTGCTCGGTCATCTGTGGGTCCTCGGGGTCTCTCCTGGCATGTTCCCTGGTTTCACACACACCTGCGGGGGCCCCGAGGTGACTGGGAGGCAGGGCCGCCTGGCTGGCCTCCTTCACGGAGCCGCCATGAGAACGTGGCGACCCAGACGAGCTCGTGGGCCTGGGCACATCGGCCGACAGCAGCAGGTGGACCTTGGGACCGTCCCTGGTGTCCTTTGTCACGGGCAGTGCTTGGGGGCCGGGAAGCGGGAGACCCGCAGCGAGACGCTGGCCTTTCTGTGCCCGGTGCTCGGGCTCCTAGCGTCCAGGGGCGTCTTCGCCCAGAGCGGTGAGTTGCCGAGACTCGGGAGATGTGAAGGAACCTTCCGGCCGCACGCTGGGCAGAGCCCGGGCTTCTCCTAGAAACTGCCCCTGGGGCAGCGGTGGGTCCGTGCCCTCGAGGCAGGCAGGGGACCCCGCTCTCCCGATTGTACCTGTTTGCCTGGGTCTGGGGCTGCGCCTCTCAGGCCCCCGACACCACCTCTCACCCAGATGCTGCGTGCTCTGTCCTGGGTCCCTGGGGTCAGGAGCTACGACCAGGATCCCTGGTCCTCAGAGCCCTCTGAGCCTGAAAGCCAGGGACTGTACCGGAGAGGCCCTGAACCCCTCTCAATGCTCCGCTCACAGGCCCAGAGCCGCCGGCCGCAGCAAGGCCCCGGCTGTGAGCAGCGGCTCCCTCCAGGCACGAGAGGCTGGTGCCCCGCCGGCCGGGCGCGGCCTCACCAGGCAGCCGCCTCGGGGAAGGACGGGGCCAGGGCCGCCTGGTCGCCGCGTAGTGGCGGGAAGTTGGCCGTGTGGGCCCAGGCCCCAGCTGTCCGGCGTGCGGGGGCCCACGGCGCCGGGCGCTTCACCAGCCCGTCCCCTCTCTACCCTCTTTCTAGAAGGTGTTGGACGAGTGCCAGAACCAGCGGGCCTGCCACCTCCTGGTCAACAGCCGCGTGTTTGGACCCGACCTTTGTCCAGGACGCAGTAAATACCTCCTGGTGTCCTTTAAGTGCGAGCCTAGTAAGTAACTGCCAAGGGGACGGGGGTGGGGTGCGGGTCCTTCGGGGCCGACGGGAAGGCTGCGCCAGTCTGTGCCGGTCCCTGGAAACACGTGGCTGGGTGGGGCCCTCCCCCCGGCTCCCCACGGGTGTGGGTCTGCGTGCGGTGCGTCCACAGGTGCGTCCGCGCGCGTTCCCACCAGCGCCCGCTCTGTGCCCCTCAGTTGTCCCGAAGCTCAGGGTGTGGGGCAGAGGCAGAACCTCTGCTCTTGTCAGTGGTTCCTGCTCCGAGGCGTGTGGCAGGGTGGCCTGTGTGTCCCAGAGGCCCAGGGACATGGCCGCCGCCCGAGCCCCCAGTTCCAGACTGGGACCTGGCCGCACCCCACTCCCGCGTGCAGAGGGTGCTCCCGACCTCCCGGCTGCAGAACCCCTTTTCTGTGATTGGCGCACTGTTCTGCATCGACTGGCGCCATGTCCGCCGCAGTTCGTTTGGGGCTCAGCTCCTCGCAGGCTCCTCAGTGCGCAGGTCCCCCCTCGGGCGTGGGGTCCGCTGAGCGACGCCGCAGGTAACGACAGTGTGAGTCCCTGGGATCTCGAGGACCTGTGGACAGGGGAGCAGTGTCGTAGCAACGACACAGACCGGACCTGAGGGATGAAACGTTCAGTTCTGCGCGGCCACCGCGGCACAGTCACCTTCGTTGTTTGCCTCTTGTCGGCTGGTTTCTGCCTCTGGAACAGCATGTCCAGGACTCCGGGGGCCCAGGAGGGGCAGAGGCGGGGGAGAGACCGGCTCCGGCGCACGGCTGCCGAGAAAGCCCTGGATCCCTCCGGCCAACGTGCAGGCTTCTTTGTCGCCCTTCTCCTGCCGGGGCCCAGGTAGCTCGGAAGTGTCCTGTGGCCCTGTCCCCCAGTGGGCATCCAGACACGCACTCACGTGCGTCCTCACACCCACACGCCCTGTTGTGAACACACCCTCACACGTACACTCGTGCGCAGTCGCAGACGCCCGCCCGCAGGCCCAGCTGTGCGGAGGGGCCGGACCCGCCCAGCAACCCTCAGCGCCTGCCCCTCCGCAGACTCGGGAATCACGGCTCCTCCGGGTTCTCGGTCCGTCCCTCCCACTGCTGGGTCTCAGAGACACCAGCCGTGCCCTGAGCCCGCCCTTGGCCGCCGCCTTCTCCCCACGCTCCTCCCTCGGTGATAAAGAGAATCATCTGAGGCATTAATTAGCCCCTGTTGGACGCTGACCGCCGGGCATCCAGGTGGCGGGATGTGGCCGTTTCCCGGGACAAGCTCTCAGAGGCTCTGCCCGTGGACGTGTTTCATGGTCAGCCGTGGGGAAGCACCAGCCTGGGGAGAAGGGAAGGGGCCCTTGTGAGGGTGCAGAGCCTCGGACAGCAGGGCCGGGCCCAGCCTTGGTGCCTGGTGCAGCCGGGCCTTTGCCCACTCCGTGCCAGCGGGCGCCCTCAGCGCGTGCGCAGGCTCTGGGCCGGACGGGACGAGAGAGGGCCCCTAACCCACACTGACCTTCGTCGGCTGGCTGCTCCGTCTGTCCGGCTCCAGGCCCAATAGCACCTTTCTCCAGAGACGGTCTCTGTCCAACACAGTCTGAAGAGGACCCCGCCGGGCTCTGCCCTCCTTCTCCCCCAGCCCCCCGTCTCCTGCAGGCCGGCGTCACCACGTGCATTTCTGTGTCGTTCACACACGGACGCGCACACCCACCCTCGGAACGTCAGCGTCGTGGGGGCAGGCCTGTCGTTCTCCAGCGTGACCCCCGCAGCCGGTGCTCAGTCTGTCTGTAGGGAACAGACGTTCACCTGGAGGGGCCGGGTGCTCCTGGGCACTGGGGAGACAGGGGAGCCCCTCCTAAGAAGCCGGATCTTTCAGTCCAGTGGGAGCCTGGCACTCGGGGGAATCCCGCAGTTCTGTGCGTGACGCCAAGTGGGGGCCGGGCTCCGCGGAGAGACCCTCGGCCCCGCGCAGACGGCTCAGAGTAGGGGCCCGGGGACGGCGTTCTTGGGGAGTGCGACGGAGCCGAGAGCTGTAGGGGTGGGGTCTGGCGGGGCACGGAAAGGTCACCCCTTACAGAAGCCCGCGGCCAGAGGAGGCAGGGGCTGGAGGGAGCAAGCCGGGCAGGATGCCGGGCCCTGGTGGTCCAGGAAGGGGTGCACCCTCTCTGGGCAGCACTCACGCAGGGAGGGCGCTCAGACGAGGTCGGAGAGCCCCGGACTGCCCCAGGAATGGCTGACTGGAGCGGCAGAGCCCGTGTCCTGGTCCACTCTGACGTGGTGACCGGACTCCACACACTAGCGACATTTACTGCTCTCAGTGCTGAAGGCTGGAGTCCAAGATCAAGGGGCCGGCGGGTCCTGTGTCCCCTGTGGACGCCCTTCTTGGTGGACGGCTGTCATCTTGCTGTGCCCTCACCGAGCGGAAGAGACAAGGAAGCCCTCTGAGACCTCATAGGACGTGGGTTCCGGTCACGAGGCTCCGCCTTCACAAGCCAACCCCTCCCAAAGACCCCCTCCTGATACCGTCACACTGGGCATTAAGATTTCCAAATACAGCCCTGGCCGGTTTGAGTCAGCGGTTAGAGCGTCAGCCCGCGGAGCAGAGTCCCGGGTTCGGTTCCCGCTAAGGGCACGTACCTCGGTTGCAGTTTGTCCCCGGCCCTGGTTGGGGTCACGTGGGTGGCAGCCAGTCGATGTGTCTCTCTCACATCAATGTTTCTCTCTCTCTCTTCCTCCCTCTTGTTCTATCTGAAGATAAATGCAAAAATGTCCTTGGATGAGGATTAAAAAAAAAAAGGATTTCCAAATACGAATTTTAGGGGGACACACACATCCCTGTGTGCCCTGGACATGGGTGGCCTGGGGCACCGCAGTGTGAGTGGCGGCCGGGAAGTGAAGAGGAAGGAGCGTGTCCCCATCGTCTCCTGCATCTTCTTCCCCTGAGAGGCCCTGCTCCTCCCCTGTCCCAGCTGCAGCCCGCACAGCACCCTGATTGTCCAAGGCCCCGCAGTGCCCCAGGGGTGTGGACACAGCTCGTCCGGGGAGCCAGTTCTGCACTCGTCCCCGCTCGGCCTGGGTGCTGGGAGCAGCCACACCCAGGAAACTGGCAAATGCTGAAATCAGGGCTTGTGTGCACGTCTGATTTTTGGAGAGCGGTTAACCAGCCTTCCTCTCTAGAACCCCCTTTTCCCCGAGCGTGCCCCAAGCTTCGCCTCCTCCCTCGGTCTCATCCCTTCAGAGAATTTTGGCTTCAGCGAGGCTATGGATTGGGCCAGCGCTGGTTCGTACCTGTCTGCTGCGAAGGCGCAGTGTGGCCTTGCACAGCGAGGGGGCGCTCTCAGGCTCCGTCACTCCGTGTAAAATGGATGCGCCTTCTGCCGCAAGGCTGGTGTCAGGGCTGAAAACACAGCGCTGTGTGTGACACGCTTAGCACAGGGCCTGTCCCGGTGCTGAGCTCAGTCGCCGGTAGCTATCGTTCCAATAGGCAGATTAAAGTAATTCTCGCTAAAAGGTGAATGACTGAAAGACAGGCTATACCGACGGCTGGGAGGATGGGGACGGTCTGCCCTGGGTGCAGGCAGCAGCAGGGTGCACGGTCACTCTGAAGGGACTCAGATACCCGTCTGCGTCAATCTCACCACACACTGACAGCTGTACATAGCGCTGGTCACCACATAACCCACCACGGCAGGTCACTGCCCCTGGGCATCATTAAAGAGCAAGTCACACCCTGACCGGTTTGGCTCGGCAGTTAGAGCGCAGGCCCGCGGACTGAAGGGTCACGGGTTCGATTCCCAGTCAAGGGCACGTGCCTGGGTTTCAGGTTTGAGCCCTGGTCCCAGTTGGTGTCGTGCGGGAGGCAGCTGATCGATGTGTCTCTGTCACATCCAGGTTTCTCCCTCTCCCTTCCTCCCTCCCTTCCACTCTGTTTAAAAATCAGTGGGAAGTACCCTCGGGTGAGGACTGACGACCGGAAGAGGACGAGCCGCTGCCGTCCAGCTGGTGGAATTCACACAGTGTGTTGGCCTCTAAGGCAGAGCAATGCTTCTTCCTCCTCCCAGGCCCCTGTCCCTCCCGTCGAAATCCACGAGGGCTGTTGGCGCCCCGCTCTGGAAGGCTGCCCACGCCTTCTCTGATCTGAGTCCACGGGGCGCCCTCACCCCGCTCTGCGGCAGGGTCTCGTTCTCCGAGAAAAGCAGTGATCCTTGTCAGTGGTCCCGTTGTCTTGAGAACCCAGAAATGGCACCGTAGGCGACAGTGAATTAGCACATTCCCCAGGAGCCGAGTGACTCGGCAGAACACAGCAGTAACCCCAAGCCTGTAACGGGACACTCACGCCCCCCCCATTCCGGGAGCCGATTTGCCCGTAATCTGGGGGCACATCACTGGAGGCCGTCCAGGAGGGTGTCGTGTTACCCGGGGTGAGCTTGGCTGGCATCGGGCGCCTTCCCCGAACGGGCCGGACCGCTTCAGGGGGACGGTGGCCAATCAGCGCCCTGCGTGCCTTAAGAAAGAAAACTCATACTTTAAAAAATTTGGGAAGAGCAAAGAAGCAAGGGAGGAAGGACGCGGGAGAAAGAAACCAGGCCTGGGAAAAGGTGTGCAGGTCGCAGAGATAAGACTTGGCCCTCGCCGGCCTCTCCTGCCCGCCTTCCGGGCCGCTCCGCCCCGGGCCGCATTCTTCACATTGTTGGGTCTTCTCCCAGCTGGGAGGGCGCCCAGCTCCCTGGTGTGTCTCCCCAAGCCCTGTGCTCCCCAGCGAAGCCATCTTCAGCCCGGGCCTTGAAGCCGGGTAGTAGTTTGGTGGTGGTGGGATCTCGCGGGGACTCGTAAACAGCCCCGGGGAACGCCCACCGTGCGGACACCACTGGGCCAGGCCGACCTCCGAGTCAGGGTCAGACTCCGTGTTCTTTTTATTTAGAAAAAGAAAACAACTTTCTGGGCTCCAAGTCCAGCGTGTCGCTTTAAGAGTCCAGTTGGCGGGGGAAGGGCACCCTCAGCTCTGCCCACTCAGCGCTGCCTTTGCCCTCTGCTGTCCCTGCGCGCCCAGACCCCCGCGCGGGGGGCGTTTGGGGAGCATCGGGAGCCGGGTTTCCGTCCTGCGCCTTTCATCCGCGTCCAGGCTCATCGTCCGTATCGAAGGGGGGGCCACGGTCTCCTAGCAGCAGAGCCCGTGGCCATCGGAGACCCTGCCTCAGTTTCCTCGGGGCAGCCGCCCAGAAATTCGGCCGCCTCTGTTTTGGGGAGGGAGGCGGGGAAGTTTCCAAGTTACCGAAAGGTGGGATTTACGTGTGGAAAATGGTTTGCTTTCAGCTTAAGCTTCACGAAGGTCCCCCCGGCCACTGTGGTCCCCATGGTAGCCGCTCACACCTTCTGTACGGCCTCCAGGGGTGGGGGCTCGCAAACAGATTAGATGCAGCCCTGAGTAAGGAGGACGGTCTCCACTCTGACCCAGTAAAAGACTCACACGACTGGAAAAGAAGCTCTTAGACTATTAAGATGGCGTTGACCCTCTCCTTGCGTGGGGCACGTTGATGTTTCCTCGGCTGTTCTTTGGTTTTAAAGTCGCTGTGGGCTCACCAGCTCCATGTCCTGACCTGTGAGGGGCTCGGGTGGGCCCCTCGGGTACAGCTTTGCACTTTGCTGGGAGGGTGGCGGGGACCTGGGACCCGCCTACAGCGGCCTTGGGCCTCGCTCCCCGATGGAAGCTGACGATGCCGCCGATTTTGTTTCTGCTCCAGATGAATTGAAGAACCAAACCGTGTGTGAGGACCGAGAGTTGAAACTGCACTGCCACGAGTCCAAGTTTCTCAACATCTACTCCGCCACCTACGGCAGGAGGGCCCAGGACCGGGACGTGTGCGCCGCGGAGGCCGAGCGGCTGCCCCCCTTTGGTAGGTGTCTGCAGGTGGCTGTCATCGGGGGCTGGCCCCCAGGGGGGATGGATCTTTGCTTGTACAGGGTGAGAGGGGAAGTCGAGGGCGGGGAGAAACCACCCTACAGGGGTCCTCCTGCTGCCCCCCACGCCTGCCTCTGCCCGTCGTCCAGCCGTGCCACACTGAGGGCTTACTGAGCACCGGTGGGCCTTGTTCTGGGCGTGGGGCGTGTTCGGTGACCGACACGGAGCCCACGTGGGCTGGCAGCAGACGAGGAGGCTGAGAGACAGCAGGTAACACACAGCGAACAGGTCGTGTTTCAGGGCGGATGAGCGCCCGGGACCAGCTCCTGGGGGAGGGGAGACAGGGCAGGTGGGGCAGCGCGGAGAGGTGTGATCGGCGTGTTGAGCAGACTTGGAGGAGAACCTGCAGCTGCCTGGTGTCCAGGCAGACAGAGCCGGCGAGGGCCCGAGGCCGTGCTCAGTGTGAGAAGCGCTCAGCGAGTCCTCGTTCTCAGCCGGCCGCCATCTGGAGCTGGGAGCCGGGGGCCAGGACGCAGCCCTCAGAGCTCCGCCCGTCACAGCCACCCGGGTTGTCCTCCGTCAGGGTCTCCCGAGGACAGCAGCGACAGGCGGTGCGGAGAGAGCTGATCCGCAGGAATCGGCTCTCGGAGGGTGACGGCTGCTGTCTGAAACCCAAAGGGCAGGCTGGCTGTCGGGGACTCAGCTGAGGGGTGTTCAGTTTTGAGTCTGAGCTCCGCGGGGCGGCGGGCTGGAAACCCCACGCAGAGTTTCTGTTTGCCGCCCCGAGAAGTTCAGAAAACCTGTCTTGTCTCTTACATCCTTCAACTGATGGGTCGAGGCCCACCCACACAATGGCGGGTACTCTGCTTCACTCAGAGTCTACTGACTTAAATGTTGGTCCTATCTTAAAAATACCTTCCCAACGACATCTAGACCGGTGTCTGAGCAAACGACAGGGCACTAGAGCCCAACTAAATCGACACGTGAAATTACCGTCACACACACCGGTCTGTGGGGTGGGGGGATGGCCTGGTCCCTACCTGCATCTAACCAGAGAGGACGGCCCCGCCATGAAACAGCCCACGGCATTGCGCGATACTGTCCATCTAAAATGAGATTCTTAATGTGCTAAATTGCTACAATGCATTCATGGTTCGCAAGTGCAATGAAACATTAATTTAAAAAAGAAACCCATGTGTAAGTAATACCTTGGGTCCGATAAGAGAGCCTAAAATGACTTCCCCTCACAGGCAGGCCCCCAGGCCAGGCCCAGGAGAGAACACACAGCGGTCCACAAGGCGCATGGGCCACCAGGCCCCTCAGCCAGCGTCCCGGGAAGGGAGGCCTCTGTCACCACGAGAGGGGGCCTTTTGAAGGCAGACCACACAGAGGCAGGCGGCTGGGCATGCGCTCTGCATTAGCCCCGGGGAGAGGGCTCCGTCCCAGCAGGCTCGCTGGCTGCCGGGGGCAGGGATGAACGCCACCACCGCCCTCTGCCCCGTGCCCCCGCGGGTGACCTGAGCTCTGGACGCCTCCTCCCTCTCATGCAACGTGTGTGTCCAGAGCGTCACGGCGCCTCCTCCCTGTTCCTGCTGCTACGGGGACGAGGGAACGCTGTCCGGCAGGAGCCTCCCTGTTGCGGGTTTGCCGTTGTTCCCAGGCACACGGGGAACTCTGCTCGCGGCCCTCCTGAACCCCCGCAGGGACTCCCCGCGTTATCTGTCTCCTCAGCCGATCAAGTGTCCTTGGTGATCTGTTTTCTGCAAAAGGGACTCTGGTCCTTACAATGGGGGCGAGGCACCCCGTTTCCCAGGTGCCGAACCCAACGTAGCCGCGCGGGTTCTGGCGGCGGCTGCGGGTTCTGGCGGTGGCTGTGGGCACCGTGGATTCGGCCGGCAGGTGGGCCTCCTGCGGGCTCGACGCTTTCCGCCCAGTAACCGGCCTGGCGTCCGGGGAGGTGGATGGGATTCGGCTCCACGGGAAGACGCTGGCAGACCCTGGCTGAAAGGTGGGATTCCAGAGAGCTCAGGAGCCCACAGGTCAGCCAGCCACACGAGCCCGCGAGCCCTGCGGATGCTGGACGGTCTGCGGTCTGCAGGTGGGGACAGTGCCCCTGGCTCAGCTCTTCAGTTTTATAGCCTGAGCCTGACGGAGTCTCAGGGAAAAACAACCTTCTCGTCCTTCCCACTCCCCCCGCCCTCCTTCACCACCAGGTGCTTCTGTCCCTCACCCTGAGTTGGTGTGAGGTCAGGGATCGAGCTCTTTGCTGCATTCGTGAGCCACTGTCAAAGGCCAGGACCTTTGTGTGGGAAGAGGCTCAAGGGAACATGAAGGGCCTTGAGGGTGCCCGTCCTCCTCATCGGCTGGAGGGTGCCCAGTTCTCCCCATCGGCTGGAGGGTGCCCAGTCCTCCTCATCTGCTTGAGGGTGCCCGTCCTCCTCATCGGCTGGAGGGTGCCCAGTTCTCCTCATCTGCTTGAGGGTGCCCAGTTCTCCTCATCGGCTGGAGGGTGCCCATTCTTCTCAGTGTCCAGTGGATCTCACGTGCAAACCTCTGCCATCGTTTTCCGGCTAGTAAAGGGTGGAAGCGTGCGTGAGTGTGAGTGTGTGTGTGTGTGTAAACACAAACCATTGGCTGCACACACTGATGCATTTTCTTGATCTGATGCTAAGAAAGTGTTCACTCCTTGGCCTGGGTCACTATGCACAAAGGTTTTAAACTGCACTTGGCAGGTTGGCCCCACAAAATCATCCACTCATTTCTCTTGTATAAACTTATTTTAATCTCACAAACCTTGAAAAAGCAGACTCTTTTGCCCAGCCAGTGTGGCTCAGTGGTTGAGCGAGGGCCCAGGCACCAAGAGGGCACTGGTTCGATCCCCGGTCAGGGCACATGCCCAGGTTATGGGCCAAACCCCCCGTGGGGGCATGCAGGAGGCGGCCAGTCGATGTTCTCTCTCATCATCGTTTCTCTCTCTCTCTCTCCCTCTCTTTCCTCTCTCTCTAAAATAAATAAATAAATAAATAATTCTTAATGAAAAAATAAAAGCCCACTCTTTTGACCCTCTGTCTCCCACTGGCGACCCATCCACACCCTCTGCAAGTCCCGTGAGCTCTGCCCCACCGAGTGTCAAATGCAGCCACTTTGCTCCCAGCCCGCTCTGGGCATCCAGGCTGCCTTTTGACTGGTCTCCAATCTTTCCTGTCCCTGATTCCCTCCCCTCCCTTCGTCCTTTCTTCACTTAGCAGCCAGTGAGATTTTATCTAAACTCGATCAGATCCCATCACCTCCTGCCTAAAGCGCTCGTCTTTGCCCTGTATTAAAATAAATCCGGTCTCCCATCTGTGGTCTGGCCTCTCTCCTCCCCTCACTACCTCTGGAGCAGTCCACACCCCAGGGTCTTTGCACAGGCTCTTGGCCTGGAATATTCTCTGCACATGTCTTTGCTTGGCCAGCTCCATCACTCTCATCATCTGGGAATCAACGGAGATGTGGTGCCAGAGCCTTCCCAGGGCACCCTGCCAGCACAGTGCCTGGAGCCTGCTGCCTCTCGCGCTGTCCCCGTTTGGTCATCTTCATACCACAGAAACAGTCACCTCTGTGCACGGCCTTTCCTCCCAGGAGCAGGTAAGCATGGTGGAGATGGGGTGTGTCTGTCTCCTGCGGACTCCCCAGCAACGGGGCGGTGCCTGGCCCAGGGGAGGTGGAGTGAAGGCTGGGATTTGTGAATGAATCAGAGCCCTCCCGAGGAGGCCCCAGCATGGGGGCCGGCCTGGAATGAGGGCCTGGTGTCGTCACCGCTTCCAGCCTCTCATGACATGGCGTTTTTTCTTTTCGTGTGAAATGTTCCAACTTTCAAAACACGGTGTGAGCCAAACAAAACATGCCTACCGGCCACATCCGGGCCCCAGGCTGCCAGTGTGTGAGGTCTCTGCTCAGAGTTCCCACCGTGTGCAGCCCCGCCCGGAGGCTTTGGAGAAGGGGACAGGGCTGCCTGTCGCTGACCCCGAAGCATGACTTTGCGGGGTGACTGCCTAAGGGCGAGGGGCCGGGTCTCACCGAGGGCCTCGGAGAGGTCGCGTGTGTCTTCCCGTTGGCCGAGCGGCCCACAGGCTCAGTGTGGGTGCCCCTGGGCACACGAGGTGAGGGCCAGCTGGGCCTGGCGGTCAGCAGGCCACGGGCGAGCCCTCCAGTTCTCTCTGAAGGATGGTCCTTACCGGTACTACGGTCGTTCTGCACAGGCTCCGTCACGACATGTCACAGAAACAGGAAAGAGGTCCAGCCCCAGAGTTTACCCAATGAAAAGATTTCCGTTTTTCAAGATCTCTTCCAGTCAGTCTCCACCGTCTCTTCCGCGAGCACAGGGCAGCTGCACCCGATGGCAGTTCTGCCACAGAGCCGCTGGGCTCGGGCGTTCTGCCAGGGGGCCAGCGACACCCTGACCACGTCGGCTGAGGATGGGTCCAGCGTTTCTCGGCCGCGCCCTGGTCGGGACTAGTTCCCTGCTCCCAGTTCTCACGCCGTGTACGTCAGTAGAACCGTCGGGCCCGTGGCCTGTTCTTTCTTCTGGATTATTTCCGTGGGATGGATCCCCAGAAGGCTCTACCCAGAGTGGTCACGGGCGTGTTTATAGTTCTTCCTGTGTATCTCGAGTTCTTTCCAGAACGTTCTCTACCAGTTTACCAGTGACGTGCAACTGGCGACGTTGGCCACATTGTCTCATTTTCCTTCATGTTTCCGAGTTAACAGGCATCAAACAGTCTTTCCATTTTTCATTGACCTTTCTTTGGATATTAATGACCTTGAACGCTTCCCCATGTATGTGGTTATTTTCTTCGACACTGTGTCTCCGGTATTTGACCTTTTTGTGTTGCGCGCTTTGTTTTTTCATAAATGTATGTGAGCTCGTGACAAGATAGACGCATCAACTTCACGTACTGTTCTGTGCTGGGCCATCCCACCCGTGGTGTGTGTTTTCCGGACCCGTGGTGTGGG